TTAAACTTTTGAAAAGTATTGTTTGTCGGGAACATCCGCGTAGTTCAGTAGTGATCGTTGTACGAAAGAACATTTAAAAAGTACGTGTGTGCCTGACCAAAGATGCTGCTAGTAGAACTTTCAGTGAAACAGTTGCGTGAGAAACTAGAAGAACGCGATGAAGACTGCAGCGGGTCCAAGAAGATCCTCCAAGAACGACTGAAGACTGTTTTCAACAAGAATGGAGACGACCCAGAGACATTTCAGTTCCAGTCAGCAGAACAAGCCGTTTTAACTAAAATAATTGATGGAAAATTTGAGAATGTCTCACAAATGATCGAAGAGAGTTCTAGAAAAAATGATGAGAATGTTTCCAAAAGATCCGATGAAACATCTCAAATTATTAAAGAAGCAGCTAGACAAAACGACGAGAAATTTGAAAATGTTGCTAGAAGATTCGACGAGACTTCTCAAATAATTAAAGAAATATGTAATCAAAACAATGAGAAATTTGAAGAAGTCTGAAGAACATTTGAACAGATGCAGAAAAATGTAAACAACGTAGAAGAGAAGATCAAACAATTAGAGACCATGATAACTAATACGAAATTGCTACCACCCGTTAATACGGTAGCCTTAGATCCGGTAGTGAAAGAAGAATCACCGAGTGACGAAACGACACATCATATGAGATTCAAATTGCCACCATTTGATGGAAAGTCCTCTTGGTCCATATACTTTAGACAATTTGAAGCTATTGCGACAGCCAATCATTGGACAGAACAAGAAAAAGCCGTTTCCTTGACTGCTGCTTTACGAGGTGATGCTGCAGATATCCTAAGATCGATTCCTAAGGGTCAAGAAAAATGTTACCAGACCTTGTTTACTCGACTAGACAAACGTTACGGAGATGCCCATCTACAACAAGTCCACAAAGTACAAATAAGAAGTAGAATTCAACGAGCAAGTGAGAGTTTGCAAGAATTTGAAGCAGATATTGCTCGTATAGCGCTGTTGGCCTATTCAGAGGCACCAGACAACATTTTGGAAGAAATTGCTGTAGATGCCTTCGTTAATGGGTTGAGAGACAGTGAACTACAGAAAGCTTTACGACTAGCAAGACCAAAAGTTTTAGATGAAGCGCTCGCCATTGCCTTGGAACATGAGATAGCTAGTCGAGTTTCACGGAGCTATCAAGTACGAAACTCTGAAGAGAGTGACGAACGAAACGATAAACGTCTGGAGGAAATCGTACGGAAAGTAGTTTGTAACATGATGCCGAAGAGACGTGAACCCAGATGTTGGAATGGTAACAACGAAGGTTTCATTCGCCACAAAGTGCAAGAAAATAATACAACAGTCAGAAAGCTAGAACAGATCGAGCACGCTAGAAAAAGTCATTCAAATGCTGATGTTCAATCAAGACGGCCATACAGTGAAAATCGTAATCATTGTCTTAAATTAGAAGAACGACTTTGCCCCGTGAGGCGAACCACCATTATTAATGATCAATGGCAGCCTCAACAGCTACAAGACGCTCAAGCAGATGATCCATGTATAAAAAGAGTATTGGATTTGGGTGCGTCGAAGTGAAAGACCTTCTTGGCAAGACATTAGTGCATGTAGTCCCGAAGTCAAGTGTTACTGGAGCCAATGGAATTGCCTAGTGCTGAAAGATGATCTTCTGTATAGAACCTTTGAGAACGATGATGGTACAGAAACTAAGCTTCAGTTGATTGTACCTAAAAGTAAAGTGTCAGAAGTATTGCGTCAGTTGCATGACGGTGCATCAGGTGGACACTTTGGTATTACGAAGACTCTGCAAAAGGTTCGAGAACGGTTCTATTGGGTGAACTGTAAAGATGATTTAAGAAGATGGTGCCGGAAATGTGAACTGTGTGCAACTAGTAATGGTCCAGTTCATAAAAAGAGGGCACCCATGAAACAGCACAATGTTGGTAGTCCTATGGAAAGAGTCGCAATCGACATTGCAGGTCCACTTCCAGAGACAAACGATGGAAATAAATATATCCTGGTAGCCATGGATTATTTTACAAAATGGACTGAGGCCTATGCGATACCAAATCAGGAAGCTGCTACCGTTTGCAGAGGTGCTTGTTAAAGAATTCTTTAGCCGATTTGGTGTCCCCTTGGAGATCCACTTCGACCAAGGGCGAAACTTCGAGTCAAACCTTTCCCAAAACGTTTGTAAATTGATTGGTGTCAATAAGACCAGAACGACACCCCTGCATCCTCAATCAGATGGAATGGTCGAGAGGATGAACCGAACGATGGGTAAACACCTGTCCAAAGTTGTATCAAAACATGAAAGAGATTGGATCAGCACATTCATTTATTCTTAATGGCATACCGCTCGACCGTGAATGAAACTACATACCAGACTCCAACCTGCCTGATGTTAGGTCGTGAAGTTCGTTTGCCCTGCGACCTAGAGTTTGGCTGCAGACCTTCCGAAGAACATGTTGCAAGCGAAGATTATGTCGATTGCCTGAAGTTAAGAATGAACAGCATTCATGAACTTGCCCGACAGCACATCCAGTTAGCCAGTGACAGAATGAAAGATCAATACGATTCTCGATGCAAGAATGAAAGCTATGAAGTAGGTGATTTTGTATGGCTTTATAATCCACAACGTCGTCGTGGCTTGTCTCCTAAACTGCAAAGACAATGGGAGGGTCCGTATGAAATTAAAAAGAGAATAAATGACGTAATATACCGAGTTAAGAAGTTGCCGAAAGGTAAACCAAAAGTAGTTCACATAAATCGTCTTGCCCCTTATGCTGGCTCAAATGAAACCGAAGAAGTCCGAACCCTCCAACATAAGATCAAAGATAAACGGCGACCAAGCTTTAAGGAGTTTATGTCAAATTACGCAGAGAGAAAGAATGCTAGATTCGGCGTGACGACAGAAGTACAGCAGGATCTTTTTAGTGTTCCGCATAACGTCTCTCTAGCCCACTGTGTTGCCCAAGATCTTGAGATGACTAAAGGAATCTCATCCGTATTTTATAAGAAATCTGGTCGCTTGGACGAGTTAAAAAACCAGCAGCCTAAAGTTGAAAGAGTGCTGAGATTAGAAGATGGTTCTCGATCTTTGCTGTATATGGTGACCAGGAAGTCGTATACAGACAGGCAACCTACGAGGATATATGGTGTGCTCTAACTAATTTGAAGAAAATCGTCTGCAATTACGACATTAAGAATTTGGCCTTACCCAAGATAGGCCATGCACTAGATAATCTGGATTGGAAGATTGTCAGAAGCATGCTAGAAGTGATCTTCCAAGAAACCGGTGTAAGAATTACCGTGTGTAGCACTAATCCAAAGAGATTGTATCCTTCAAAGACAGTAGACTGTTATTTCTTTCTGAGGGGTTCATGCAGAGCTGAAGAGTCCTGTAGATTCCGCCATCCTGGGCCTACATATAGAGTTGCTGATCGGGACGCTCAGATCTAAGAGGGGAGCAGTGTTACGAACGTGAATTTAACGAGGCACGTATAACGGTTGCATCTCGAAATAGCACCTCATGCTTCCATGCATAGGCGTCTCGAAAGCGACTCGATATTTCGAGAAAGATCAGTCGCGTTTGCTTAGAGGTGGGAACTTTCTAGAAAATAGTAACTTTGGTATATATATGTAACGATCTTAGGAATGAGTTTAGTTGATAAGAGAATACCGAACTGTAAAGTTATAAATAAATATATTTATATAAATTCGAACCGCTCGTTTTATTTAATCTCGCTACAGTATTCGTAAGTCAGTCTTTGAATATATTAGAATTCATATTCTGATGATAATCTACACTATATTTTTCTATTTTTTTTTTCTGCAAAGTTTTAATTCATTTGGCAGTCAAACATTTAAAGATCCACAATGCACAATAATCATTCGAAAATCTTTATTCAAAGGTACGCCTTTCAGCTGACATCTAAGTGAACTATCAGTCCTTCCCTTCCGATCCCATACCATGTCTCATTTAAATAATAAATTATTCTCTTTTGGTCTCGATATTCTTGAATATTTCTCTAAATAATGTAAACGCCAATGTACTAGTGTCTTACTTTCTATAATAGCCACTCGTTTATTAACGATTTTGTATCCAAGCTTATTCAGTCGTCTGCGTAGTTTTATGGCATGTTTAGGTTTTCCAGCATCCGATCTTGTTTTTTTCTTTTTAACATCTTTTTTACAATTTTGCGCGTGCTAGAATATGAAATTCCTGTTAGAAAGGTCGCTTTTCTTATAATACAGACACATTTTCTTGGATGTTCATTCAAAACAATATATTTGTTTGGAAGTGGTATTAACGTTTATTATTACACTTTCTCTATTACTACTTTAACATAAGCATATTAATTCAATATTATTTGATTTACATCTAAAATTTGTATTTTCGCTATTCTTTTCAATTACAAGTACTGATATGACAAGCTTATTAGTTTACCATTAATTTGCAACCGGTTTGGGAGTAGTGCCAAAGTAAGGTTTTAAGGTATCAGTTTCTCCGAATGGTCAAAAATTCAAGCACAGGCTATGAGGGATTCAATGAATATCGACGCTTGTTTTAGTTCCTCAGAGCTCATTGACTAGAATCACATTAAATTTTAGGTAATAACTAATCTGATTGTAACAAATATTTAGCTGCTACATATAAAATAAAAATACGTTACTCTTAGATAGCAAAATGCTCTTCTATATAAAAAAATATAAGAGTATTTTTTTAGTTCAATTTAGAAATTACTTGTTTCATTTTTTCATTACTAGAGCAATTTACTTTCGTACTTATGCCGTAAGCATAAAATTTGTTTGACAAATTCCTGAAATATACTTTAGTCCGTAGCGATTGCGAAAACACTATCATAACAGAATACTAACTATCTCGGACTAATAACAGTATACTAAAAAATTAGCGAAAGTGATAGCAAGATAACGCTATAAACTAAAAAAAATTAAGTTTTACAGTTCGCTTAAGTAGGCTTCCACGGTTATCATTTTATTCTGTGTCATGAAATACTTTTTCGATGACATTTTGACTATTTTTTTACGAACATATATGTCAACCAAAGAAATAACACAAATATTGATATTTGATAAAATTTTATACTAATTAACAATAAAAATGAAAATTTGTAGTCCCTTTATATACGATCTGAAGAATAATAACACAAATTGACAACTTATTTTTGCCATTTTAGGAAAGTATTTCTGGTAAGTATTTAGGTAACAAAAAATTTATTTTTTAAACGAGGAAATATGAATTTAAATTAAACACACATAACAAGTAGGTAAGTCAAAATTGCGTTAGTTAATACTGGGATAAATAGTCCTGTCCCATTGTTTGAGTTTCCTATACGGAGTCCCATATTTTTCATTTTTTTATGTTTTATTTTTTTTTGTGTGTTTCCAGTTCCAAACTCTTGATGATATTCTTTTTTTGTTCATTAGTCTTAGGTGCCACTTTTGGATTATTGACAAAAAGTATTGTTTTAGTTGCGTGTACATATACAAAGTGGCCCAAAAGTCTGGAAACGGCTAATTATCTCGTAAATTACTAGACATAATTATACAAAATTTGAGATACGCCTATTTTGGGATACGGAGATTCCATATTTGGTATTTGTAATGTTGCCAGATTTTCAGTTTCTCTTATATTACTAGTAGCCTTGGTTTTTCTATTGCATCACCCTGTGTATTCAGTCATTATTGGAATCTCCTATTAAATACGAGTTCAACCATATGTAACACTTATGATTTTATGTAGTCTGAAAGGTCTTAAATACATAAAACAGAAATCTGGCAACGCCTAAATTGTTTCAATACATTTTTTAATACTAACTATTTTCAAATACATTAAAACGTATTTGAAAATTGATTGAACAATTGATAGTTTAGAATATTGTTTAACATAATAGTTACGTTATTAAGTGTTCAAAATGTGCTCTATTTGTGAGTTGACAGCACTCTAATCGATGGTAGAATGCGTCTAGCATATTTCTCCATGATTGTCTAGAAATTATTCGAGATTCATCGATAATTTATTGCCTTAGCTATGCAAGACTTGCTGGTTAAGTTTTGTAAACTGAATTTTTCAAGTATCTCTAATAAAAATAATCTTTAGGATTGAGATCGGGTGAACGTGGAGGTCATTCAATTCTACCTTGTCTACCAATTGATCGTCCGGGAAATATCTCATCTAAATAACGCCGAACATTTACACCAACTATCCTAACCATATGTTCACTTGATTTTATGTAGTCTGAAAGATCTTAAATACATAAAACAGTGCAAAATATGTAGATTTTAATAAATTTAAATATTTAAATGGAGAATTCTGTGATTTTGACATTTGTTCACCATTTAAATTATGAACTAAAATTGACAGTCGTTGTGGTTCAAAATGTTCTGCAATTTAAATTGCTTCTCTAAAATGCCGTTCTCTAAACAGTTCTCCTATTCATAAGACGACGGTACAAAAAACTGTAAGGCGATTTGAGGAATCTGGAGAAGTAAAAGATAGATACCGATCAGGTTGACCGAAACCAGTTATCAATAACAACAAAACTTCAGATATAAGCAAAGTTTTGTTGAAGATCCACATACATTCCCAGGCAGGGTTGCACAAGTACATGATGTAGGTCATTCTTCAGTCTTACGTTTATTACGTAAAAATAAATTTAAATCATACAAAATTAACTTATTGCCAGAATTAAGTGAAGATGATTTTGGTCGTATATTAGAGTTTACTTAGGTAATGATGGATAAAATTGAAAATTATTAAAATTTAGTTAACAGAATATGTTTTTCCGATGAAGCAACTTTTACCACTGTGTGGAAGTGTAAATCGACACAATTTAAGGTACTGGGTGTGACGTAAATTCACACTGAAGACTAAATGCGTGAAAACCATACTCAAAGACCACAAAAATAAATATATGGTCAGATATAGTAGTTACTTATTCAATTGGGTCATTTTTGTCGAAAGAAATTTAACGTCAGATAGTTGGTGTAAATGTTCGGCGATATTTAGATGAGAGATTTTTTGGACGATAAATTGGTAGACAAGGTAGAATTGAATGGCATCCACGTTCACCCGATTTCAATCCTAAAGATTATTTTTAATAGGGATACTTGAAAAATTCAGTTTACAAAACTTAACCAGCAAGTCTTGCAGAGCTAAGGCAACAAATTAGCAATGAATCTCGAATAATTTCTAGACCATCATGGAGAAATGTGGTAGACGCTTTCTACCATCGATTAGGGTGCTGTTAACTCACAAATTGAGCACATTTTGAACACTTAATAACGTAACTATTATGTTAAACAATATTCTAAACTATCAATTGTTACGTTTTAATGTATTTGAAAATAGTTAGTATTAAAAAATGTATTGAAACAATTTAGGCGTTGCCAGACTTCGGTTTTATGTATTTATGACCTTCCAGATTACATAAAATCATAAGTGTTACATATGGTTGAACTCGTATTGAATAGGAAATTCCAATAATGACTGAATATACAGGGTAATGTATTTGAAAAACCAAAGATACTAATAATATAAGAAAAACGGCAAATCTGGCAACATTGTAAATATCAAATATGAATCTCCGTATCCCAAAATAGGTGTACCTCAAATTTCGTACAATTATGATTAGCATTTTACGAGACAATTAGCCGTTTCCAGACTTTTGGGCCACTCTGTATATTCAAAAGTGTTAGTGGTAGAACTGTGATACATATTTGTGTATGTGCATTTATGTTGATTACTCTAATAGGGCTTTTTCAAAACTTATAAAAGCAATATGCATTTCAAGGTTAGTCTTTTCGTTTTTGGATCATTTGTTTTGTAAGGAAAATATTGCTGACAGTAGACACACCTTTTCGAAAATTGTGTTTTTCTTCTCCTATTATGTCTTTTAAATATTTTTATATATAATATTATACTAGGCAGTCTTCTACAGCTGACGCCGTTTCTCGCATCCTAATTTCCGGCGTTTTTTGTCGAAGCAATCTTTGATTTTTTAAATCTCTTGAGGTCTCTCCATGACTTTAAATCTCTCGCGGTCTACATAGTTTTCTTCTAGTGGGCGGAGTCCATTTTTCTATCTTTCTGATCATCTATTTTCAGGCATTCTCTGCAGGTGTCCATACCAGTTTAGTCTTTTGGTTTCTATAGTATATATTATGTCTAGGTCAATTTCCATTTCTCTCCTAATGACCACGTTCCTCACCCTATCAAGTCTAGTGTGCCATTGTCTCCAATAGTCCATTTCCATTGCCTTAATTTTTGATTGATTTCACAAAGTTCCCAATAAAATAAAACCCAATACTTTTTATTACTGTTTTATAAATTCTTCTTTTATTTTCTTTTGTCTAGTGGCTGATCTTGCTTGGCCAATCCTAGAAAGTATTTTTCCGTTACTCCCTGCTTTTGATGCTGTTTGGATTCACAAGTATTTAAAGATTTCAGTTGGTTTTATAGTTCCCATTTCAATTTATAGACTTTCTGTTTTTTCTCTTGTAACTAAATAAGTACTCGATAAATACTAGAATGGCTAGGTCGTCAGCAAAGTGTATCGTGTACAATCTCTTGTCTTCCATTGGAATGCCCATATTGCAGCATTTTCTTCTTCACACTGAGAGCGCCTCATTCAGATATATTTTGAAAAGTGTAGGTGCTATGCAGCAGCCATGCTTTAGACCCTTACTAATAGGAATTACTTTAGTTAATTTGTTTCCAGTTATAATGTTTACCGTTATATTTTTGTAAAGCTGTTGTACTGCTTTTATATATTTTTTTATTTATTCCTTGTTTTTCCATTACTACCTAGACCATTGAAAGTGCTACACTATCGTATGCCTTTGTCAGATCTATAAAGACTACAAAAGATGAAAGGTTGTGGGCTAATCTTTTATCAATAAACTGCTTTAGAGAAAATATGCTGTCTATACAGAATCAGCCTACACGAAAGCCATTTTGTTCTTCTATATCTCTTATCTCTTTTTAATAAAATAAGCTTCCTATGGAAAATGTCCATTATGGTCTGAATTTTTACAGATCCCGCCCAGTCTATAATGTAAGTTTTTGAACATGGGTTTATGAAGGTTAAACGGTTTATAAGCAAAATATTGCAATATTGGAAATAGTTTTATTTCACTTTTTGAAATTTTTTTGATAAAACCACTTTTAATTTTTTTCTGACATACTATTGCAAACATAGTTATTCGTGATAAATAATTTTAATATCTTTTAAACTAATCGATGAATTACTCTAAAATTTTGTGGATATGTTAACACTAAAAAAACCCAACTTTCCACGCAATATTAAGGTTCTAGGTTAATTTCTAGATATTAATCTTCTTCTTATGGTGCCCTATCCGATTAGTGGATGTTGGCAACAATTCTGGCATACTCCTCTCGATCTTGTGTGGCTCTAAAGAGTGAATGGAAATCGAGGTTTGTCCAATCCCTTATGTGTTTAAGCCATGAGTATTTCTTTCTTCCAATGCCGCGTTTTCCTTCTATCTTCTCTTCCATAATAAGCTTTATAAATTGGTACTTGGAATTTCGAAATATATGACCCAGATAAGCAGTTTTTCTTCTTTTTATTATTGGCAGCAATTCTCGTTCTCTGCCCATTCGATTTAATACTTCGAGATTTGTTGTGTTTTCTGTCCAGAGAATTTTAAGTAGTCTTCTAATAACCCACATTTCAAAGGTCTCCAATCGGTTCATCACATTGGCCTTTATGGTCCAGGTTTCTACACCATATAGCGGTATGGAGTAAATGTAACATTTTACGAATCTCTATGACTGGATCTAAATCTTCAGTTATCCAACTACCGAGATATCTAAACTTGAGGACTTTGTGGATGTTCTTATTGTTAACTTATATTTAGTAGCATATTTCGTGTTCTACTAACCACCATTACCTTCGTCTTGTCTATATTAATCTTCAAGCCCAGTCGTTCTCTTTCAGTGTTTGTTTTATCTATTAGTCGTTGTAGCGCTTTTTGGCTATCAGCTAATATGACTGTATCATCAGCATAGCGAAGATTACTAATAGTCTGTCCGTTGATTTTGATTGCGTCTTCAATGTCACTTAAGGCTCTATCGAAAATCGTTTCAGAGTAAAGATTAAAAAGGAGGGGTGACAGAACAAAACCCTGTCGTACCCTTTTTTTGATTGAGAAATATGGTGTAGATTCTA